AAAATTTTTCCCCCCCCCCCAGTCAAGAAGGTTCTAGCCCTTGGCATAGCCCGGTGGTTCTCACCTTTTTTTTAGGAGCAGGATGGGCAAGGCAGGGTGGCTGTGACCCCTGCTTCTTGTTTGTGGCCTAGCCCTGTGCTGAAAACCCCAGGCTTCTGGCTGGAGGCAAGCACCTCTTGGTGCCTTCATAACAGAGCCCTGGGGAAGACAGCACAGGTGAACTGCAGAGAAGCAGGGGTGAGGCAGGGTGCCATACCCCTGCTTCTCTGCACACTGCCAACCAGCTCATCTGTGCCTCATGCTCCAGGCAGTGATTGAATCCTGCCGAGCAAGTGGGAGCTTTCTCTTTTCCCCTGGCCCCCTCCCAGAACAGGACTTAACTGTGTCACCTCTAGAGCTGCCCACCTCAGCAGCAGCGCTGCCAAGTCTGGAGTGCTCACAGCTGCCAAGCTGGCTCCGAACATGCCATTCCTCTTAACCCCCAGTGCCAACTGAGATTTGCTTTGCTTTAAAACATTATCTCTTTGTGCACGATGGGGCATTTCCTGACAGCCATTGTGGTGGGATGCCTTTCCCATAGCTAGCAAGGTAGGGCTGTGGGGAGCAGAACGGGCTATGTGGCCTAATGTTCCTTCTTCCTCCTTTCCCACATGGAGTATTGTTTCCCACCCCAAGCCCAGTGCCGTTTGTTTCTCTAGCTCTGAGTGGCCTGGCAGAGCAGTCCAGCACAGGAGAAATGCTGGAATCACCCGAGTCCCTCTCTTACTGCAGAGCCTGTGCAGTGAATGTTCAGCCAAGCACATAGATATGATTGGGCGGACATCACGTAAGAGCTGTGTAATAGAACAGAGAACAGCAGGTCAGCTGGATCTCCTCCCCACCATGCTTGGGGCTCTGCTTTGCAGTTGCTGCAGGTTTGGCATTAGCAGAAGCAAATGGAAAAGGGTTCTAATGTGAATGGCAGCTGCAGAGCATGGCAGGTGTTAATTAATGTACACTTAGGCTCTGATGGGTCCACTCCCTCCAGGTGCCTTACCTGGGGTGAAGGATTCCACTTGCAGTGCCCCATGACTGTTTGTCTGATCTGTGTGTAAGGGTGTGGGTCACTCCAATTGTAAAGCCTGTACTGGAACCAAAGCAATTCCTAAGCAGTGAGAATAGGCTGTGAACTAGACAGTATCCAGGATGAGGATGCTGGTTGTCCTCTACATGCCGTCCCTCAGCACTGCATAATCATGTGCCAAAGCTTGCTTGTCGGCCGACTGGACTGCTCACTCCCCTCAGTGAGCATTTCCCCTCCACTGTGCAGGAGGTGTCTGAATTGGCCTCAGGAAACCTTGCTGAGTTTCTGTGGCCTCACTTTGCCTTAGATGGGATTGCAAGCACCCACCTTTGCTCAGTTTGTATGTTGTTCTGTTCATGCTCTGTGCCAGGGCCGTGTTTCCCCTGATCCTTCCATACTTAGGTGGGACAAAGGCCTTGGTGATGCCTGGTCCGGCCTTCACTGTGAGCATGCTTATGGTCTCCAGCGGGCGTTTCCTGGGGAGCGTGACTTTTGGGTTGGGCCTTTGCTTTTTCCATCGTTGGACAGAGTAATTCACTCCAAGGGCTTGGCTCAATCAGGGGCTTGTAACGTTTTTAACAAGCTTGTGGTCAGCCCATCCAGAGGCCCCTTCTGTTTTCCCTGCCTCAAAGAGGACCTTGAAGAATTTACAGCCCCCAGTTCTCCACAAAGCCTGATGGGGTTGAGCCTTGTGGCTCTCAGTCTGTGCTGGGACAGCTGCAAATGCTGGAGTTTCTCATTCTAAGTGCCAGCTTCCCTTTCATGGGATAGGATTGGTCTCTTGTGCAGTCTGTCCAGGCCTCTTGGCCAGCACTAACCACATGGGTGGTTTTGGCTGCTCTACACCCTACTGCTTGCCCAAGTCACTGCTGTGCTGGGAGCTGCCTCACGTTACTGTACCCAGTTGCATTGGCGTGTCCCCAGATGGCCTTCCCAACAGCTAGCCTTGTTTGCTTGGCTTGCTGCCCCTGCCACCACTCTGCCCTCCACTGTCATTGCTGAAGGACCCAGAGGTTGCTGGTCCTTGCTCTACGTCCAGTTCCCCCTCAGCCCTGCAGGGTGTGGTGGATGATGTGTCTGTTGCCCTTTCCCTTTAAGGGTTTTTGGGTGGGAGGGCCTGGCAGCCTCTACTCACAGAGGGAGCTGCAGAGGTGATGCTGAGCTGGGTATTTTGGGGAAGCTGCTTCATCCCTCCCTGGGGTGAAGGTAAGAGGCTTCTGTGGGTGGCAGACAGTGTAGCAGCCTGTGTTGCCAGATGGAGACTATTCTGTTCTGTTGGCCTCCCTTACTACTCCAAAGCATAAAACTGCTCCTGGAGCCCCTTCTGAGTCCAGCCGGACAGTCCCAGGACTGTTTGTTCTCACATCCTTTTAGTCTTGCTCTGGCTCAGATCATCTCCCATCCCTCCCTCGCCCAGGCCTTGCTGCATCTCCTTCACTCCTTTCATCTCGGCTGCTCTCTGCTCTTCCCCTCCCGCTCCGTTTCCAGCATATTTGTTCAAAGTGCAGTGCTGTTTGGGCGTTGCCATGGATGCACGAGAATGTTTGGTTGCCCTTCTGTTGTATCTTGGATTAAAAGGCCTGTTCAGGGAGCTGAGCATGGAGCCTGCAGCGCCCTGTACTCTGGGGGCTGGGGATAAACAGCCCTGCCCATCCAGTGGCTTAATGATCCAGGTTGGTTTAATGATTAAATAATAAGGGCTGCAGCCCCAGAAGCAGAGGGAAACATGCAGCTACCTTGACCTCAGAGAGAGTCTTGGCTCAGTCTAGCTGGGTGTGGCCCCTCCTGCATGATGCTTGCCCATAGGTGAGTGTGGTATTGAGTGCCAGACACGCTGGGTGTAGAGAACCCATAAATGCTCAGGGCTGAGTTGTTTCCAGTATGTTGATCAGGCAATACTTTCCAGAGTCCAGGCTGCCTACTTAGAAAAGCCCTTCTGATCACAAAAAGCCTTTTACGCGCAGGCTGCAGTGCTGTAGGGGAGCTGGGATCCTTGCAGCTGTCCTTCAGAGTGATGTGGGGCAGGCATTACCAATAGCTAAGGACTGTTGGGCTGGCTCATGTATGGCAGCAGTGAAGGCAGTCGCCTTAAACCAGTGTTGTTGAACAGCTTAGCCTGCTTTGTGGTGAAGTCTGGTAGTAAAATAAAGGGCAGATGGTGGGAGAGGAGAAAATAGCCCCCTGTGCCTTAAACCCCCTGCAAAGTCTCTGCTGATATGAGAGAAAATATGCCAGTGGATTTCTGCTGGCCTTTCTCTTGGGCCGCTATTTGCATGGTGCTCAGTAGGTCTTTGGAAAAAAATGCTGCCTCTGAGGTGCTCCGGGTCTTTGTTTCTACATGCTGAGGATGGGCAGCTCTGTTGTTATACAGCTGTTGTGGAAATGCCTGACCCTCCTGTGCTCCATCGTGGCAGGGAGCGTAGAGATAGCAAAATGAAAGTCCCTGCCTATGGGAGCCCATTGCTTCTCCAGTGGTCTTTCTGCATGCATGGAGGCCTGGGGGCCAAGCATGCCACATCTAAAGCTTTTGTTCTGCCTTTCGTCCTTCCCGTGGGTCACCCTGGGCTGAATTTTGGTGTGTGAGGAATCCCCAGAGAATAGTCTGGGGCTCTAGCTTGTCTTGATATGATGAGTATACAGGAAGTCGGGGAGAAAACAACTGCTTTGGTGCATCCTGTTGACTTCTTGGGGTTTACTGACTCTTCCTTTTGTCTCTGTCCCTGGGTTAGCACTCCCGGGTGGACCCAGAGGAGCTGTTCACCAAGCTGGAGAGGATTGGGAAAGGCTCATTCGGTGAGGTGTACAAAGGGATTGACAACCGCACCAAGGAGGTGGTTGCCATCAAGATCATTGACCTGGAGGAGGCGGAGGATGAAATCGAGGATATCCAGCAGGAGATTACGGTGCTCAGTCAGTGCGACAGCCCCTACATCACCCGTTACTATGGCTCCTACTTGAAGGTGGGCAGGGACACCCTTGCTTGCAGCCTGTGGCATTGGTGGGCAGCTTGCAGGGTCTGACAGATGGGTGCCCAGCAGCAGTAGGATGCACTGTCAGCAAAGGGTGTTGCAACAAACCAGGAAAATCAGTAGCTTCTGTCATTCTGACCATGTGGGACTCAGACCCTGCAGAACTCGCTGGGCAGGATGACATCTCCAGAGAGCAGGTGACTCGACTCTGTCAGAGACCTTCCATCCAACATCCATTCCTTATGTTTGCCTTCTGCTTTGTGTTTCTAAGGGGCAAATGGCCTGAGGCTTGGAGTTGGCTGCTCTATGATAATACACCTAATGCTTCTTCCCCAACCCCATTCCCTTCCTTTTAGGAGTTGCTTGTTTCTCCTGTCAGGGCTACTGCTGTGGTGGGTGACACCACCTCTAGCAGAGCCTGCTCCACCTTTGCTTTTCTCTGGATGATTCCCCTGTGGAGCAGTATGGAAGTGCTGGGCTGCCTAAGACCCAACCCCGTCCATGAATAGGGCTCACCCACCCTGCAGTCTGTGCATTGCCAGTGAAAGGACTGAGACCACCCGTTGTTTTGTTTCTCACTGAAGCCAGTCTAGACAGAGGTCCAAATTAAAGGGTCACTGTTATAATGCTGTTGCTGTTACTATTGACTGGTGTCATGAAGGTGTCAAGGGTCAGAGCCCTGCTGTTCCAGACACTTAGACACAACAGAAGAGACACTCTCCACCTGTTAAATGTTTGTCAAGATGCTACAGGTGAGTGAAGTGGACATGCAGGGGTTCTATGTTGGGAGGCCTACAAAATAATTGCCGTGATCATAGTTAAACCCCAGAAGGCATGCTGTGGCAAGGTAAGCCAAAGTTGGGAGCTTCTGACTTGCTTGGAGATGCACAAAATGAGTTTGTTGCAAGTGAACAACCATGCAGGCTGTCGGATGTGACCCCAGTGGGCAGCTGTAGTATCCAGGACTGGAGAGCTGTGTTGTCCCATAAATGTGTTTTTCAGTGCCAGGATAAAGGCACTTTACTGTGTCCATGGGGAGAGATTTACATGGCCTTTGGCTGTGAATGGGCTTACGCTGCATGGTACACAGTCTTGCACCTTGGACTGGTGTCAAACCACTTAGGAAACTGAATTAAAAACAAGGCTTGGAAGGGAAGTGTGTGGTGTGCTCCATCCCTTGGTCTGCCCTCAGCGTCATGCCCCTATGTCAGCAAGGGCAGGGAAGGATGGAAGCTCCCTGATGTGACCCTTGCCCAGGGGAGGAAACACGAAGCCCACTCAGTCCATTGGACCAATTCCAGCTTCCACTCCTGGAGCAACTTGTTGTTGGTCCTGCTGTTGTGGAGAGAAAGCCTGACTGATTTCTGACTGTTTTCACCTCTAACTGTGACCAACACTTACTCAAGCCCATTCCCTTGTCTGGTTTGCAGGGCACCAAGCTGTGGATAATTATGGAGTACCTGGGTGGAGGGTCGGCACTTGATTTGGTGAGTAGCTTGGTTAGCCCTTGTCTTGGGACACCTACTCAGAGGCACACTGGGGAGCCTTGGTTTGTGAAGCAGCTCATAAGCATGGTGCGTGTTTGCATCACTCAGTCTGATTCAGAGTGAAAGGAGTTAGTGGGGCTGAATGGGCATGTTTATAACTTTCATGTCCCATGTGCCAAGCACCCACTTCTTCCCTAGCTGCAAATTCTCCAAATTCATAGCCTTTCCTGTGCAGTTTGGGTTCGGGGAGCAGGATGTCAAACCCAGATGTTTCCTTCCAGAACAATGCGTCTGCTGGACTGGTGCAGTTAGACCTGCTGGGTGTGAGGTTCCAATGAGCAAACTGAAAAGAGCCTGGGAATGGCAAAGCCCATGACTCGCCAGTGAGGGTTCCCGAGTGCCTGTCACAGACATTGAGGAGAAAGTTCCAATGCTTCCTCTTCCTCCCACTTCACCCACCACCTTTCTTTCCCTACTTTCCCATGTATTTAGCAGCTATATTTCTTCCCCCCCAGCAAGCACTTGCACTTACTCCTCCCTCCTTTCTTCCCTGTTTCAGCTGAAGCCAGGACCCCTGGAAGAGACTTACATTGCCACTATCCTGCGGGAAATTCTGAAGGGCTTGGACTACCTGCACTCAGAGAGGAAGATCCACAGGGATATCAAAGGTTAGACTTAAAGAAGCCAGACCCTTTCCCTGCCAGAGACACTCATGGAAGCAACTTGAGAGTGGTTCCAGAGACCAGAGCAGCCAGACTTGTATTTTTGTTGTCCAATAGGTCTAGATGTCAGTAGTTATTCAAGAACAAACCTCCTTCTCATGGACATCAAACGGTGCACCCTAACTGGGAGAGCATGGAGGGTCAGAAGTGCTAGGCTGGCACCTGTGCTTTGTTAGAAGAAATGGAGCAAGGGGTGGGGAAGATAAGTTGCCAGAGAGATGTCAAACAGCAGAGGTCCTTGGCTTCCTGCCTGATTGCTCCTAGCTGCTTTTTGGAGCTCTTTTTTTGGCACATCAGGCCCTGAGGGATCACAGTGCTGTCCCACCATGGATGCAGTACACCCAGTGCTCTTACCACGGTGGTTGGGAGCTCCATCAGTACACGCAACAGGAGTTTCCCAATGGAGTGCTTTTTTTACACTGGTGCTATGGTGCTGGGGGCCTCAGGGCTGTTGACTGTAGTTTTTCCTTGACTAGTTTTAAAGCATCAAATAGGACAGACACCCTGCAGAATGGACAGACAGGTTCTGCCCCCCCAAGAAGCTTAGTTCAGAATGATGTAGTAAAGGGATGGAGCCAAATCATAGGGTTGGGAGCAGGAGCACATTGTGACTTCAGCAAGAGAAGCAGATGGGGCAAAAGGGTTAACTGCTGTATACTCTGCCTTGCTACTTGCAAGTTGTGGGAGGACACTGATGAGCAAGGAACTGCTGGGAGAGCCAGTTTGGGACTGGGAGTTAAGGGTCTTTCTCACTGCAGGGGTGGCATGAAGTGGATATAGGTGGGATGGTGTCAGGCCTTTGTGTTTGCAGCTGTTTGAAATTAGGAAGGCTTAACTGTACCCAGGTTAACCCATGCATGTGTCCATGGCCTCCAATTGTCTGCACCACTGGTAGCGCACAGATAGAGTGGGCTTGCTCTTCCTAGCTCTTGCAGCCCTCCCTCCTTTCCCTCTTCCCCCGGGAACAGCTGCAGTGGGGATGGCAGGAGTTCCTGCCACCCCATTCTGTTCATCTGCAAACCAACTTAGGGGATCTCTTGTGGACAGAAACAGATAAGTGGGCAGGTTTTAGGATATCTGTGACTAGGGCTTGTGGCAGTGATTGATGCCTTCAAATAGCCAGGCTTTCAGGCAGTGCTGAAAATCAGGTCCCTTTGGAGTGTCTTTAGCTGGATATCCTTCTCCATGTGGCCAGCAACTTCCAGGAAGTCCTGTGTGGCTGATCCTTGGTGCCAGATAGATGTTTCCCTTCTGCCCCAATTGCAGGAAGCTATTCAGGGCCTCTGCTGACTGTGGGAATAAGATTTAGAACCTGGAAATAGAAGCTATGGGGAATGAACAAGGGGAGGAGAGATTTTTCAGAGCAACAGGGAGGTATTACACTAACTGTGCTCCAGCCATGGGTACTGGATTTCCTGTGGGTTCCAAAAACCACTGAACTTATTCTCATTTATGCAAATAGCTGCCAATGTGCTGCTTTCGGAGCAAGGGGATGTGAAACTGGCTGACTTTGGGGTGGCTGGGCAGCTGACAGACACCCAGATCAAGAGGAACACATTTGTTGGGACACCATTCTGGATGGCACCAGAGGTCATCAAACAGTCTGCCTATGACTTTAAGGTGAGCTTGCAGCAGGGGTTGTCACCTTCTTCAGAACTTGGCATGCATCAGTGCTATGTGACGTGCATACAGTAACGCTAGCATGGATGTTTCCCTTTGCCTTGAGAGTGGCCCTTAAGAGGAGGGATTGGGACCTGTGGGGGAAGCTTGGGATCAAATAACTATTGAGATTAAATCCTACGTTTGCCCTCAGTGAGACAGGGCCTTTCTGTTAGTTCTGTTGTATGCATCTTGCATTGGCCTCTGCATACACAGCCATCCATGACCAAATCCCTCTTCTCATTTCTCTCTCAGGCAGACATCTGGTCCCTTGGGATTACAGCCATTGAATTAGCCAAGGGTGAGCCCCCAAATTCTGACCTACATCCTATGAGGGTTCTCTTTCTGATCCCCAAAAATAATCCTCCAACACTGGAAGGGCACTACAGCAAGCCCTTCAAGGAGTTCGTGGAAGCCTGTCTCAACAAGGACCCTAGATTTGTAAGTATCCCTTCCCACATGGGGGCAGAATGGCAGGGCATAGCACTGCAGAGCCAGAGGGGCCTAGAGACCCCTCTGGATGTTGAGGCCTCCAGCAAGACTGTAGGAGCCAGGGTGCAGGAGGGAAAGGGAAAGGGAAATGGTGGAAGCAAAAGGCAAAGCTCTGGGGTATGAATGTCATAGCTCTTCCATACCTTTGCCTAGCTTTTTATTTACCACAGAGGCCAACTGCTAAGGAGTTGCTAAAGCACAAGTTCATCACACGCTACACTAAGAAAACCTCATTCCTCATGGAGCTTATCGACCGGTTCAAGCGTTGGAAGTCAGAGGGCCATGGAGAAGACTCCAGCTCTGGAGATTCTGACATGTGCGTATCCTGCCTGCCCTGATGTCTGTTGCCAGGTTCTGCTGCGGGCTGCTTCCCCTGTGCCCTGCCTGCTGACACTGCAGATCGTAGAGGCCCAATGCAGCAATTATAAGACAGGCCCCTGGGCTTGGTTAGTGGGATGCTTCTCATTGGCCTTTGGTTGGTGAGCAGCTGCAGATAGACAAGCCCTGGTTGTGAGAGCAGAGCATGGATGGATGAAGAGGGTGAAAGGCTGGAAAGCTGACCTGCTGCATCAGCTTGCCAGTGGGGTACTCATTGGAGTCCTCTGTTTCCATGTTTCTCACAGGTGTCCAGCTGAATCTGTTAACATGCCTGGCAGCCGGTGCTTGGTGAAACCACGTTGCAGCTGCTGGGTAGTGTTTGTAGGGACAAACATTAGCAGGGTTTGCGGAGGACACACATTAGCAAGGTTCTGGGAAGGGAAGGGCAGCTCCTAGCACTGTGGTCCCTTCTGTCTGATAGAACACAGCTTGTTGCTGTTCATAAAGGCTGTGGCTGGTTCTTGCTCTGCTCTGGGTCTGGCTTCTTAGCTTTTTGACAATCCAGTTTATTAAGAGGGTTTCTAATGGGGCACTCAGAATTGCTAGTGAGACTCAATCCAGATGCTCTGTCAAACCAGGCTTATTTGCTCCAAGTTGATACAGGGACCCAGGAACCTGGCAGGTGCTGCCATAGTAGCCACACAGGCTATGTATGACAAACTGCATGGTTCATGGAAGTGGAAAATGATTCCAGCACAGTTGGATCTTCAGCCTGACTTGGATTAACACCTGTGCCCCAGCTACATCACCACTAATGTTGATGTCTCATAAGAAATGCCCTGGGATCAAAAGCCAGCTGTGTGCATGAAAATGGGTCCATGATGTTCAGCATGTGGCACATAGGATACTCTGCAGGTTGTGTCTTCAGCTTCTTCCTCTTCTGTTTCTAGTGATGGAGATGCGGAAGATGGAGACCAGGGTCCAATTTGGACCTTCCCACCAACTATTCGCCCCACCTCCCTTAACAAGCTGCACAAAGGAATGGCTCTTCACGGCTCCCAGAAGGTCGGTGCTGGCCTTGTCTTGGGAGACTAGAAGTGTGAGGCATGGCTGGGGCCTTGGAGAGGGTGTGACTGCCTCCCTGCTCTCCCCAGTGGACTTGTATTGCACCTCTGGAACATACTGGTGCCCTCTGCCTAGCATCTAGGCATGCTGGGACCTGGCAACTAGGGCTGCATCATACATGCCTCTGATAAAGCAAGTTTCGTGAGGGCTGGATACGCAGCCTCCATTTAGGGGGCTGGTAGTGTCCCTGATAGGGTCATTGTAACTGCTGTCAGGGTATGAAGCAGCCTAGTGAAGCGTCTGACACTCCAGCACCTGCTTGCCTCTCGGAGGTTAAATGGAGGCTGGTGACTGAGACTCCCTACCCAGAATGGCCTTGGCTGGTGCAGCCAGCCTACCCCATCTCCCTGTCATCAAGAGATCAACACCAGCTGCTCCTCTACTGGGAGACAGGTGTCAGCTCTGCAATGTTAGAGCTTCTTTGAGGGCTGGAATCCCCATACCCACAGGGGTGTCTGCTGCGTGTGCTCATCACTGTCCCTCTGTGTGTTTTGCCTTCCAGTCTGCTGAGCCCATCAAGCGGCAGCCGCGATCACAGTGCCTCTCCACCCTTGTTCACCCAGTCTTTGGAGAGGTGAGTAGGCCTCTGCCCTGTTCACAAGGGCTGCAGGTGATGAAGCAGCTGGGCAACTGTTGCCAGACATGCAGATGGGAAGGGTGGCTGAGATGAAGAGGAGCAGGGTTGCTGGCAGGACATGGGGATGGTGACCCATCTCTCTCCTTGTACAGGAAAGCAAATATACTGTGAAGAACCCTTTCTACTACCCTGGTGCTGCCAGACCTGCCTAGGCAGGAGTGCAGTACCACTGCTTTCCTTGCCCTTGTTTTCTGAGCTCTCCCCACTTCTGCTTTAGCCACATGCGTCATTTCCTTTGAGCCCAGGGCATTGGACTGTCATCCTCTCTGAGCCTCAGATGCTTCAGCCTCCTTCCAGCCCCTGTCTTCGTGCTGGTAATGCCAGCTCATTGTCAACTGTAGCCATCCCCTCACCTCTGTGGGGACAGGAGATTTCCAGGTTGGTCTGGAAGAGAGCTGGGATATGCCAGTGTTGGGCAAATCTCGCCCTATTGTCCTTTCAAACTGCCTAGCCCACCCACATCCTCACCCCACCTGAGCCTGCTCTGTCTGTCGCTGGTCCATGCTGCTGCCCTTGACAGCAACAGCAGGAGAACATTTGCCACTGCAAGAGCATTGGAGCAGGAAGTAACTCAGTGATTTCTAGCCTTTCCTTCTGGCTGTCTTGCACTTGGTCCACTGTGACTCTGTGCTAGCTGGGGCTGGCTGTTGCTAGCAGAAGCTTGTCTTTGGTGGGGTGGGGTGTGGAGGGGCATGGGGAGGAGGGCAGAGAGTAGGTCTGGAGAACAGATGGGAGTTTAATACCAAAGCAATGGTTGGTATTACCACAAAGCCATACCACAAGCCTTTAGCCTGTGTCCATGTTGAGCAGAACTAGCTTTTGATGCCCTGTAACTGCCTGTGAAAGCCTGGGGTAAATTTTTAAATGCTTAGGTGAACACTTCCATAGGTAGGTGCCTGAAGGCTAGCACCTGGGCATAAAGGGCCTGACTGAGCTGCTGAGCATCAGCAAATCCACTGGCATGTCACCTCTGGAAACTGCTCTTGCTGCAGTACCTGATGTCCTGGGGCCTACAGCTGACGGTGCTGACCCTAGGCCCTCAGGCCAATGTTGGGTTGATTTGTCCCCCAAGAAGCCTTAGCATGTGTCTCTGTGCACCTGGGTGAAAGCCTGGCAGGTGTGAGGCCTATATCAGAATGGGGTGAAGCCGGTGGGGATGTGCAAATAGCTTAAGGATCACCTCCAGGCTTTCTGTAGATTTTTATCCTCACTGCGCTTCTCCTCAGGCTGTCCCAGGCTTGCGGAGCAACTGCTACAGAACAGTCCTGGCCTCATTACCCCTTTTCACCTTTACACAACTCTTCCACAAAGGCTTAAGTTTTATACTATATGCACATTGTATTGAAGGTACCTGGTTTCTCCTCCAGAGAAACCAGATTAGTGACACAGTGGGAACACAGCAGCTAGGTAACAGCAGCATGCACTACAGGCTACTGAACCACTTAGGTTAGTTGCTTGGGGGTCACTGCCCACTTAGAGCAAGAGCGTGTTAAATCATCCATTAGCAAGGAACAGGCCCTGTGTTTGCATTCCTGAGTTCTCCACTGGTGCAGAGGTGAAAGCACATCCCAGGGAGATGGTGGGGGTTTTTTGTTTAGCGCATCAGTCACTACATGTCCATCATCCCCACCCATGGCTGCTGCCTGTGAATGAATAGGGAGGCAAGTGGGCAGCTCAGACAGCTGGGGGTTTGTAGCAGTGATTAAGTTGCTTTCACAGGCAGCAGACAGGAGGCTGGTAACTGGTTCACTGTTGTCCAGCAGGGGGACTGTGAGGCCAGCGATGGCCTTGCTGCAGCTTAGCATGAGCTGAGCCTTGTCCTGCAGAGTCCAGGCTCTGTGGGTGGTAACTAGGAACGCTGCACTTCAACCATGCTTGGTCGCAGGCTTGCAGGAAGGTGCTGTGAGGACGTGGCAAAGCCACTTAGCCTGTGTAGCCAACAAAGCTAGTTAAGAAAGCTTTTTAATTAAAACAAGGCTGCTGTTAGCTGGCACAGCAAATGGAACAACAGCAGCTTCTGCTCTTAGTTGCCCCGAGAGGGTAAGACATTGTTGGGGACAGAGCTCTGTGGGCTTGCATAGCCCAGGCGTCACTGCCTGCAGTGCGCTTCTTAATGCTGTTTGTGTGTTAAGTAAACATTACGCCAGGCACAATTAGACTAGTGTGTGCTGAGGCCTGAACACAGTGAGTTAATGGGAGACAGATGCAAGCGCAGGCTGTCAGAGAATTTCTCCCTTAGGGCATTGCACTGCACAAGGTCCTGGCTGGCTTGGCCTCTGCTGCATGTCAACAGTCCTTGTCTAGGCAGTGGTTGTTCGGTGCTGTTGGTCCAGTCTCCACTGCAGCTTTCTGCCATGAGGTTTGTCTCCTGTAGCTTCCACAGAGACTGCCTACAGGGTAGTGGTGATGGACACTGAACTGTTCTCGGCTCAGGTGTTCACACCAACTTGGTGTGAGGGTTGCACTCCTGCTCTGGATCCACCACTGTTTTCCAGTTCACTTTTACTGCTGCTTAGTAGGGACTTTTGTCTTGTTAAGGGCTTTGCTTTCATGGTCATTCTCTGAGGAAAGAAACAGACTAGGATCTGGAGGTATGTGTGGAAACTCAAGCTTGCCTTGGGCCTGCCCTTTCTGCATGACTCTCCTACAGGGAAACAATGGTCTGTGGTCACCAGGCTTGTACAGAAGAGTCCACAACAGAACAGTTGCTGGCTTGGTCACCCAAAAAGATCATGCCTCTTAATAGTTGCATTGAGCTGCTTGTAGCTAAGGTGTTAATGGGGAGTTTCTGATTTGCAGTTGAAAGACAAGCACAAGCAGACTGGGGGCAATGTGGGAGCCATGGAGGAGCTGGAGAACGCCTTTAGCTTGGCGGAGGAGTCCTGCCCAGGCATCTCTGACAAACTGATAGCACACATGGTGGAACGGGTACAAAGGTAACAGTGCACTCTGGGGCAAAGGGCTAGGGAGGGCTCTGCTGAATTATAGGGTAATGCAACTGCCTCAGCTAGGATTTAGCTTTCCAGTTGCCCAGAAAGCACAGTAGGTAAACCTAGATGTTCATAGGATACTCCTTTTTGATGCCATTGTCCCTTTTCAGATGTACATTTTAGGAGAGGTTCTTCCTGCCTCCTGTTGGCCATATTTCTGTACACCAGCAGTTCTCAACCTTTTTTGTATCAGGACCCATCTATAAATATCAGTGGCTAGTCCTGACCCAATGCCTCTCACTCCTGATCCACTGCCTCCTGTCCCCAGTGTATGGGGCAAGGGGTGGGGGGGCTCGAAGCAGCCCCTTGCAGGCTGGAACTCTGCCAGCCGGCAAGGGAAAAGGAACGGTTTCCTACATTTTTTCTCCTTTTAAAGAAGAATCCATTTTCAGGTTTGTTTGCGACCCTTTCATATATTCTTGTGACCCACTTCTGGGTTGTGACCCACAGGTTGAGAAGTGCTGCTGCAGACCACACTAATGCTTTCAAGCTTCCTGGGACAATACTGTGAACTGTCTTCATCTCTAATGGGTGCTATCCTAGTACTGTCACTAACCCAGCCAGCAGGCTTGTATGTGCACCCTTAAATTCATTTCTGCATCAAGGAGTTCCCCATGTCCCCTCAGCCTGCCTTCAGGATCTGTTTGGCTCGCATGCTTTTGAGCTCATAAGAGCTTCTGCATGCTGATTTTGATGAACTGATGGAGCAATGTCAGTTTGTGAAATTAAGAATGGAGTGTCCCCTTTCCTTGCCCTAAAGTGTCAGGGTGCCTGCAGACTCACAGGGAGTAAGATGGTGATGTAAGAGGTTGCATGGTGACTTGATGTACTGTGAACCCTTTCAACCCCTTTTACGTGCACTGGAATTCAGCTGTAGCACTCTGTACTTGTTACCTTGGAGCTGCTACACCAGCAGGTAAAGCTCACAGATTTGAAGCAGGCAGGATACCATTCTTTAATGTTCATTGATCTTATAATACCTTAAACACTTCTGGTCTGTGTGGAACTGATAACACCAATTCAGGGGAAAGTTTGGTCTTCAGTGATAATCATGGGCCAAGAAATTAGCCCTGCATTCACCTGCAACCCAAACCATAAATCACTGCATGAAGACAACACTTGAAAGTCAGTTTCTTTCTCAAGACTACAGTTCAGGCTTCTGTTTTCCCAGTGGAAGAGGCCTGTTCTCTGTGGGTTCACAAGGATGGTGCCAGATTTGACTTTGAGTAGAAGAGACCTCCCCAGTCATGACAGAGGGAATAACCTGTTCCCTTAAAGCTGGTTGTTTCACACCTCCTGTCTAAAGGCTGTTCCAGAACCTCACTCTGCTTGTGGTTAGAAACCTTCTAATTTCCAGTCTTTGGAGGAGCTAAATCCTAGTGTCTGAAATGAGAGGAGCAGCTGTTTGTTTTGCTTGTGCCCCTTGAAAGACAGCTTGGTTGTGTTGTTGTATGGTTTAAACCACCAGGGCTTTCAAAATTAGCCAGATAAACTGGCCTGAGTGGTGGGTGGCAGCTGAAGCCTTGCCCTGCGTGGCTGAAAAGAGAGCTCATCTGCTACAGGGCAGCTTTGAGCCCAGGGGGTTTGCCTCTGCATCCTGTGCTGTGCTGAGTTTGCAGTACAGCTGGGCCTGAGGTGCCTTGGGCCTTTGCCTGACTTAAGCGGCTGTCCATGTTACCTGCAGGCTTGCACTGGATCAATCTTGATGACAGAGTAGAGCTCCTTACTAATGCTAAAGCTTCCTTGGTGCTCCTGAATCGCTTTAAATTGCAGCTAAATATGAAGCAGAAACAAAACCTGAATCTAGTCAGGGCAAGAAAAGGCACAAGGGTATCTAGTCTGACCTGCCTAACAGGCTGCAGACCTTCCTGGGAAGCACTGCATAAAGGTCTAGAACTGCAGATGTGAGCCAGAGGTTTTTTGAAAGCCCCACCTCTTTCACATGCAAAAGGGCTACTAAGAGCCAGTGTCGGAGATGGCGGCTGTGGGAAGCAGTGCTTGGCTAAGATTCTCCAGTGTGGGAGAATGTCCTGGGGTACAGCTGTAGGCGGTATCCCTGGCCAGGGCAGTTATGCAGTTGTGTGACATTCCCACTCCTGAAATGCCTTCTCTGAAAATTGAATGCAAAAATCTAGAACTCTCGGGTCCAAAACGATACCATTTATTAGACCAACTGAGAAATTGCAAAAAAAAGTATTTTCTTCTGAAAATTGTATCTTAAAGGCACAGGAGAACCCCCTACTGGGCTGTTACCTCAGTGCTGGTTCTCTTTCATGAGTTTTGCTCCTGCTTTTAGCCACAGCTGCTGTTGGCTTGGGGTCCATCAGATGCAACTCGGATGGCTTGTTCCATCAGTGTCTGGGGTGGTCCCTGGTCAGTGTAGTGGATTCTGGCACCTTGCCTGTGACTGGATAGTGGATGAGTGTGGCCAGTTACACCGGTCTCCTTTTCCCTTGCCCCTCACAGGTTCTCTCACAGCCGGAACCACCTGACTTCTGCCCGCTGACGTCAATGTTCCTTGCTGCTGTTTTGGGGGAAGGGAGGATTTTTCCAGTTTCATAAGAACTACATCTCTAATTCAGACACCATCTGCTGTTGGATGTAACATTGTGCTATGGACTCCAGGACATTTCAGAGCCTTCATATACATATTTCCATGACAACCCAGGGTGAGGTTCACAATGCAAGTACAATTTAGACCTTTTGTGGAGCCCAGGAAGGGCGGTCTAATTGTTTTTACAATGTACTCGATGCAGTTTTTAATGGTTTTTCTCCCTGTTGATTTGGTTCAGAGCTTGCTATAGGTAAATTCTGGCTTCTGGAGACAGAGAGAGGTTCTCTTGGACTCAAATGTGTTTCAGAGAGAAGCATGCTGAGGTAGCTCTCCTCTTCACAGGGGAAGTGTACATGAACTGTATTGTACAAGCAGCACAGGCATGTCTGCAGCTTTCCATACACTACAGCATCCAGTAGAGTCAGATCAGCCTTCTGGCCCTACGAGAGGTTTCTCCTTCAGTCCTATTGTACATTAGGGAGGCAGCAGTTTGCTGCCACTGCCACCACCTTGCATTCACGTAGTGGGTTTGCTGACTGCGCTTCCTCGGGTTCTGAGGGTGCCATTTCACACTAGTCATTGGCTAATCTGTACCAGCCTAGCCCAGAACTCGCCTCACTACTCTGCAGAGGAGCAAGGCTGGGGCAGTTGTGTTTGGCTTGGCCCCTCCCAGAAGTGGCTGAGTAACCACCTCATGTTCCCTTTGCAGCCTGAGCGCTGCTCCTTGAATGACCAGACATGCAGTGAGCCAGAAGGCTCCCTGTAGCCCTACCCATCAAGGATATTCAGTGCCCTGGCTAGCTCCTCAGCAATGAGTAGTTATGTCTTAGCAAAGGGACATCTACCCATCAGCCAAAGACACTTAAAGCTGAAGCCTGATGTGTAATTTATGCTAATTACAATGGACTAAATTCCATGCAATTCCACTGTCAGGGAAGTCAGAACTTTCAAGGCTAGTGGTTAGCCAGCAACAATGGTGGCTCTAATGCTATACTTGAGACAGCAAAGCCAATTTCTCGCTGCCCCCTGCACCCCCTTTTTGTTTTCCCCTCTGAACTTTCTCTTAAAACTTGGAGCTAAACTACTTGAAGCCAAAAGTACAGTCCGCCTGAGGAGCTGCATCTCTGGCCGCTCTATAGGAAAGATAACATTTGCCACCATGTTACCTGCACAAGCTGTTTCATTGATGCAACTGGCTTTGCTTTCTCTACCATGCTACTCTAGGCACCAAATGTCAGTTCTTTATTTCATGTTGTGAATTCTACACTAAGCAAGTACATTCAGGAGCAGGAAGGAAAGTGGGTTTGAGAAGAGCCAGGATCAACATTTTGAAAGTTGGGTTTTAAAAAATAAGCATGTAAGGTAGTGATTCTCAACTAGGGTGCCATGAAGTCCTTTTCAAGGGTGATGCACAAAACACTGTTAGGTGTGCAAACATCAGCACGAGTCACAAGATAAACCTGGAGATTTCCCATAAGAATGCATAGTGTCAAAAACATTCTGTCATCTTTCTGAGAAGAATTGCTCTAGTATTTTTTCCACAATCGAACAGAACAAGTGGAAGTGAAGAGCTGGCATTTTCTGAGGGCTTCCTCGAGTCTAAAAAAGTTGAGAACCACTGATCGAAGGGATGGATCTTTAACTCCCATGAAATAGATGCCTTTATTTCTTTAAGACATGGAAGACAATTAAAAGTCTGGGTCTAAAAAGAGTTACCTACATAAGCAGTGTGACTTCATAGCTGCAGTTGCTCAGTCCTTCTAAGAGCTAGAGCCACCTGGTTTGTAAACCTTGATTCTGGTTCTTACCTCAAGTGGACAGATTTCAGAACACAGGACCAGTCATCTCTGTGCACTTGTAGCCCTTCACTCAGTCTGGTGCGGTTCATGTTAGCATATGATTATCTTTGCTGCTTCTCTGTGATGGGCTGGGTGAGTGATAACACTGCTGCATGTCTGGTAGCCACTAGCAAGACAGTAGCTGAGGCCTGAAGCCTGGCCTAACGCAAAACCCTGTTTTCTGTGGTCTCCTTCAAGAAGAGCAGTGTGCGGGCAGATCAGACACTCAGCCAGGCCAAAGGGAGAGGCTCCTGGTTAACATAAAGGCAGCTGAAAGTTTTGTGTTGCGTTTGTAACTGCTGCTCGTGATGGTAGCAGATTGTGTTAAAGGTACCTTGTATTATCCTTCACATGCACTGCAGTGTCATGAGTAAAGTTTTTAAAGGAAACAGTCCCCAGAGATTGCCTCCAGTATTCAAAGCAAAAACAATTTAGTTTATAAAAGCATTGAAAGGGATCCACCACTTTCAATAAAGTAATAAATACAAGAGCTGCTTGGTGTAGCCTGTCATTATGCAAACCAAGCTATGGCTTTGCCAAACACATCAGAGCTTCTGCACGTGGAGCAGAGTCCTTATGTGAGACACTGTTCCAGCTGGGTGCACTGCTGAGTTTGCCTTGCCCCGTGCGATGGAGCTATGTTTGCTCTAGCGCTTCCACCTTGCTACAGTGTTCACTGAAATTGCAGATGTGTCAGACCTTGCAGATAAAAGGTGACTGAGCAGTGAGAAAGAATGGCTACAGAACCAAAGCAGCTTCTTGACCCTGACTTATATCTGCTCCTGAAGCAGCTGAATGCCTCTCCCTGTTGTGCTTCGGTCATACACCTCAATCCATGGGCCAGCCATCCTGCATAAAGCAGAAGGTGTGAGCTCACCCCAAGCTCTTCTCCAGCACACACCAGCTCCAAGAAAACCAGAGGCAACCAATTATCTAAGCAGAACACAGCCTTGTGGGGAGCAGGAGCAGGGTAAGCCAAAGCCAATTTAAAAGATGAGATGAGACCAAGGACCATTGGAGGTTGGTACCTAGAGGGCAACTTTCCTGCCAACCTACTTGGTGGAGCTGGCCAGAAGCCACTGAAGATATGCTGGTCTCGGCTGATTTGAGGCAGAATGGAGAGCGCCACTGGGCAGATAAGGCCTCTGATGTGAAAGTGAACTTCCTCTCCTGGACTGTGGCAGACATGCTACCCTTGCACAAACCTTGCTTTTGCTCACAGCCTCCCTTCACTACGGTCCTCATAAGAACTGTGGACACACCCAGAAGGACTCCATTTTTGCTGTGGGGGCACCTTCCTATGCTACTTTTAATTAAAGTGGAAATGCTTGGGAGCCACCATTGTTACTGTTCTCACAGTCACACACATGGTTGTGGTTTAATTTGCCCAGAAACTGTTTTAAAGGAAAGATGCATCTGAGGCACACAAATGACTACAGCTGTTTCTAATCAAGCTACAGAGCACTGATGTTTTGTTGGTTGACTAAATTCTAAGCAAGAGGAAAAGTGATGCTAGTTCCCGTGAATGTCTGGTGCACACAGAGGCTGACATGGTTGCAGCACATCTCTCAAATGATTGCTGCACATACTTTTTACATGTTTGGGAATAAAATGGGCCATCCTATCCAGTAACACACCAGCTATGATGCATTCAACCTTCATTACATTAATGGGGGCAGTACAGAACCCCAATGTGGAAGAAGACAGTCAAACAGGATGAGGGCAGTATGTCCAGCTTGCACTGTATTTTTAAGCCAGGTTTACAGCAGGGATGGGACTCATTCTCTCTGATGGTTGCTTTTGACTCTGCCCTTGTATCCTGTCTGACTCTTCATAGGTGTTCAAAGAGAGGAGGTGTTGCACAGAAGGTTGAACAGCTGCATGTCATGCTGCTTCCCTGGAGGCTGAAAGCATAGGGGTATTGCAGTGGGCAGTGAACAGTTTGCAGGAATCTTCCAAGTGACCTAAGACACTGGCCTGTCTCTCCAGTATGTGCTGATGAAACTTCATGGAGTTGTTACAGCATTGGTCTGTTCAGCTTGGAAACAACAGACCAGGACGACAAACAGTCTACAATGCTAGGAAGTGAAGAATGCATCTCAAGTAGTCGCAGAAATTGAATGTTCTATGTAGATGATAGCAAACAGTGGTTTCTTACTGAAGTATTTTCCTATGGGGAATAGCCAACACAACAGTTTAATTACAAGCGAGACAATGGGGGCCAAATATTCCCTATTTAAAACTGTCCAGCCAAACCTCTCTTACATGGGTGAAGATCACCCAGCATTTATGAGTTCATTTCCTCTGTCCAAGGAAGAAAATTACTTTGTCATTTTCTTCTATGGGCTTCATCCATTCCTTGATTGATTGGTGTCAGGAAACTGCTCTGTGATGTTGCCCAGGTCCTGTTTAAGGGAAGGTTGTGCCTCTACAGATGCTGAAGTCTCAGCCATTGCAGATTGTCTACACTGATGCAGTGTTAGAAAATCCCAAGATCAATTGCTGAACTCAGTTATTTAGAGGAAAGCTGATCCAGAGTTAGGTTGTGCTCCTGGGAAATCAGGAGACGGGTTCATTTCACTGTCCCAACGAATTCCATGTGACCATGGGCAAGTCACCCATCTCTTGCTGCATCCCTTCCCTACTACAATGGGGTTAGTAGCACTGTCCTATTTCACAGGTGTGGAGTGAGGATAAATGGATTTAGAACTGTGAAAAGCTCAAAAACAAAGATGATCAGGGGCATGTAAGTACTTAGTAAAGAAAAAACCTTCTCAAGAAGTGCTCTATACAGAAGATTCACCAGAGTCTCCCTCAGAAGGCATCTAAGTTGATCATTTTTCCCACAGCTGCTGGAAGCTGCTTGCTACTGTTAAGCTCTGCATCTCCCATGATGCAAGACAAAGGAGCAAAAGCAGGTGAAGTGTCCTTGAGGCTAGGGACAGACACTCAAAAAGCCTGAGCCTGAATTAATTCAGTCTTTGCAGGCTAGGCTGAACTGGTTTGTAACTGGACGGACACTCTCTCTGGACTGAGGGAATTCAGGCACATGCCTGCTGTGGCTCAGGCTAGAAGTGGGGGGGGGGGGAATGACAAGACGGGATGGGAAACTAAAGCAGTCCTCCCTTCCTTCCAAAGTGCTGAGCTAAGGCGGGGGTGGCATGGCCAGGGCTCTGCAGGACCTCTGATTAGGGAGGGCTGCCTTCCCAGGCTTTTCCCCACTGGCTGCTCAAGGGGTGGGAGTGTTGCTAGACCCCTGCTAGCACTCAGACAAGTGAGGGGTGTGCAGTGCATGCATCTGTTGATTCACAGCTTTTCAGTCTCCCTCCCTGCTTCTTTATACTGTCTGCAGCAAATTGACAGGCAAGCCAGCCAGCTGGGGACTGATACAGTGATTATCACCTCATCAGCAAAACAATAGCCCCCCCATTAGTTCAAACTCTTCTTAAACAGCTTACCAGCTGACCTGTTGATTAGCTCCAAATAGCCCTAAGCAGCCACTATTCTGTCTGCCTGTCCCAGTTAAATTGGAGATACACAGAGACACCTCCCAGCATTAGCTAGCTAGCTAGCATACCATATGCCTAAGGTCTGTGGGGCTGGGATCTGTGCTGTGGGAGATGGGAGGGAGGGAGGGAAGGGGGGATTCCTACTTAAGCAGTGAGCAGCAACGGGGTTGCAGGGGAAGGATAGGGCAGGGGGAAGCCAGGTGGACCCTGCTGTGTCTGCAAGTCTCTGCTGGAGCTCCAGCCAGGGAACAGAGGGGAGGGGCCAGCCCTGCTGTGGTACAGAGAGCCCTGCCCAGCCCAGAGAGCAAGCTGGGATGCTGGGGGTGTCTGGTTTATCTTAAATCAGCAAGGAGTCTGGGACCAGAGGCAGTGCATAGGAGGTGCACCCCTTGCAAAAAGGCACCGCTGACACCGGTGGCAGGATCTGTGGGCAGTCCACAATTGCTGCTGGGCACCACCAACAGCACCTGCGGGTGGTCGCTGACTCCTGGTTGGCGCTCGCCACCACTCTTTCTCCCCCACCGCCAACAGTGCCAGTGGCATCTGGGGGATCGCCACACTTACTGCTGCCAGGCTTCTGCCGCCACCATGCTCCCACCACCGCCAGCACAGCCGTTCCTCCCCAGCTGCTGGGGGCACACACCTTTCATGTCTGGGACAGACATTGCATAAACAGGTTTGAGCCAAATCAGTTAAGTCTGATACTACATTCAACCAGGTTTATCTTAAACTGGTTTCAGCCATTTTCAAACTGGTTTATGTGCACTGAACATCTGTTCTTTTACAGGTTTAAACCAGTTTCTGATCACTTAAATCAGTTTATGTGCAATGTCTGTCCCTAACCTGAAAAAACTAGAATTGAGCAGCAGTGAGGGTTACAGTGAAGCACAGCCTACAGGTGCACGTGCCTAGCAGCCACAGATACCTTGGTCCCCATGAAAAGAAGGTTCCTTATCTGGCTACTGGATGCAGAGGAAAAGTCAAAGTCAGATGCTTTCATGAAAAAGAAAAAACATGACAACTTCATTAGTACAGAAAAGCTGAAGGAGTCTTCCATTTCATACAATAGAAAAAGTGATGCAAATTCCATCAGAACATTGCCTATCCCCAGCAGAGGAACACCTCCTAAAACACCCTGCACTGGCCAGATGTTTGGAGTGACTGTTGCCCTATTGCCCTGAAAGGCCACCTCACATGTCCATAACCTTGGCAGCAGGGTAAACATGGGACATGATTGGTTCCAAATTGCAGAGTTCTTTCACAGAGCACATGGCTGATTCAGTAGTCTTGAATGCAACAGCTTTCCCCACACTTACTCTCGAGGCATATGGACAATGCCTTCTGTTGCTTTAGGACTTCTGCAGATCCCAAATCAATGAGGCGCCATGGTATCAGTGTATATGGGTCGTGTGAATTCCCAGAAACTCGGTGCTTGCAGAGGCAAACCAATGTTCTTGGGAAAACAAGTTAAAGCCAGCATTGAATAGAGCAGTGTTGTGCAAGCTCTTTCAAAAGAGCTCTACCAGCATTAATCAGTCTTGACCTGGAGCCTGTCCTGCTATTCCAGGTCACACCCTCTCCACAGAGTAGATAACCAGGGATACCAGGTGAGGTAGGGTGAGACTAAATAGCCTACCAGTAACTGAGGTTTGCCCCCCCTCTACTTGGTTGGCCCTGTAGGGAGTCACATGCCACATACACAAACCATGGGACCATTTGAAGAAGCAAAAGGAGGCAGTCAGAGCTACACAAATATAGATACTTTAACCAGAGCTGTAAGAGGCCTTTCCTTCTAACCATCTTACACTTCTACCTGGCTCAAAGCCTAAGCAGGAGCTTTGGAAGGGCATCTGGGGAGGGTCAGTGCAGATATAGTCAGAAAACACCAACTTGAAAATCCACTCTGCTAAGCCCCTTATAGAAGATCAGCAAGTAAGTGCAACCCACTGGGAAGGCAGGGGACTTCTCATTACAAAGGGAA